TCGAAAAAATAGATTTTTCATATGTTTTACTATGTGATCGACAAAAATTACGTAGACTTTTGTCCAGTGAGTGTACAGTATGTGTATATATGTATGTCTACATTATTCAAACACAATTCTTGCAACGCTATTCTTCAGAAAGCAGATATTTATGCATTTGGGCTCATACTGTGGATGTTTGAAATGGAAGACACTCCATTCAAGCATAGAGCTCATGATATGTTTCTTGCTAAAAACATTTGCCAAGGTGCTAGACCGGAATTGAGTCGTTGGGCACCGGAATTCTATAGAATCGTCTACAAGAGATGTGTTGATCCTGACCCAGACAAGCGTCCGTCCGCTTCCAAACTTGCTTTCGATATACGTCAGTGGAATGAAGATCATAATGGGGAGTACATTCCAGCACTCGAGAGGGCTAGGAACATGTTAAAGAACTGTCGTGTCAAATTAACAGAGAAACCAATTCATCCCGAAGCAGTTTATTTCAGTCGCGTATTTAGCCCGGAGAGTCTCCGGATAAATGTAGATGGTACGGTTTTCTTTTGGAATGTGACGCATTTTTATGTGGGAAATTCTAAGGTTAAGCATGATATTCGATTTATTAATTTGACGTTGTGTGTATCATTGACCAGGTTCTAACCAGGTTTATAATGAAGAAATAGCGTTTGGTATGTATTATTATGTTAAGATATATCGACACTCGTTTACTTGAAAAACATATTAATTATAATTTGTTTTGAATAGACCCCAACCTGGATATTTAGCTTATATTATGGTATTACATAATTATAGTATTGTAGCTCGATTTTAGAGGATCCATGCAAGCAGTCACGATTAAGGTCTTTTGTGGAATGATTTAGAAATAATTGGAAAAGGGCGCTTATGTTAATCTGATTCGTAGCATGTCGAAGATTGAACGAAATTATGGTAATAAAATACGCCAAGTAATAATCACAAAAGGTTTTTGAGCATGTCTGTAGCACACATTCAAAACGCCTGATCATATTGCTATATACGTCACCGTAGTTGAATTATTTACATTAGCGTCGGCTACCCTTCCTATCAGATTTGACAATCGAAGCTGCTAAATTGAGGTACCAGTTTTGACATTTGTTGCGAATTTATAAAAAAGGTTTGTTGTCCGCGTCTATCAATTTTACTACATTCTAAAACCGGGTCGTAGATTTATAACGTACTGTACGATGTTAGTAGATTCTGGAAATTGGAAGACATATAGCTTTTCGAAAACTTCATGTCGAAAGCAAAACACAAAAAATTTATAATACGATACAAGTTTGCCCCAATGAATGAAACCACGTAAACGATTAATAATCGTGGCTTTAAATCGAGTGACTATACGATACGCATGATTTATCACGATGTGATAAAAAGACGCGGAAACAATCATCGCATCAATTAATCAATACCCAATCTTTACGGTCGGTTCTCTATTGATGATATATGTCGTTTGGCTTAGTGATTAAACCGCACCAATATAGACCCCGTAATTGGTTAACAAATTAATGTTAGGGACACTCTTCGTCGTGACATCTTTTATGTGGTAAAAGTAGTTGGAAATGGCAATACAAGCAAAATTTGATCTTCCAACGATAGCAACTCACACATACCATTCCACATGAGCTGACAACGTCATAAAACACTTCACGATGGCGTACCGCGACTGTCATTATATTCCTAATTGAGACATCTGCCAACGACTGATCTGTCAAAAGCTTTGCATACAAGTGCTAAAATTGAAGATTGCAGACTATGCCTTCGTTTCAGCATTTCTTATCATTCCACACCCAGCATTCGTTTCAATAAAAATTTTTTCTTTTTTTATTAGAAGCGGTTCTATCCACCAGCGTTTCAATTCTAACGGCGTTAATTTGGCGAACTAGCAACAAGCCAATCAATCCTGTTTAAACGAATACAGTCAGTGATCCATTGACCGGATATTTTTTGATTGCGTCACAATAAATACTTACCATGCGGGTCTTCAGCGTACGCGTGATCACTCTCTCGGGTGTTCTGCATTGATGTCGGAATATAAGTAAAACCACCGCCAGTTCAAAAATGACCAGTTAATAACCCAAATAAAAACCACCGACTACTTACATAACATTGACAACAGCACCCCAACCAGACATACAGTCTCTATTCGTGGCAGACATTATTGCTTGAGAAATAGCCTCAAACAGCTCTTCTGGTTCCTACATTTGATTATAAGCATGAATGATAGATCCAAAGGACGCCTTTCGACTACTGCGATAGATTACGATCATTCAAAAACCATACCAGATTGGGTTGCCACAATGGCTCACATATACCGTACAATTGATCTTCTCCTGTGCCTGTTGCACTGAAATCGTAATTCATGGTTGTGCATCCTATCAAATCCATCCCGCAAATGAATGGATCATTGTTCTTGTCCAGCCCAGCAACTATCGGCTCCACAAAGTAGGGAGCAAATCTACAAACAAGTATCCATTTAGTCGGTCAATATTAAAAGACTTGAGTTAGAATGTTTCCGTCGTTGATATTCATACGGTATACGTATAGGCATACCTTCGTTCATATAAAGTAGATGAAACCAGATGAGCCAAAGTATTAGGTTCAATGTCACGCTCTTCGTTCATTCTGTACATGTTGATGTGGAATCGGAATTTCTCAATTCTACGATAATATAAACCTACATGAGTATTGCTGCATCGCCGACATTTGTTCTTTCCTCCCTCACCACCCACCTCACCCATCCACATTTTTTGAAATAATTTGTTCGTAATCACAACTCTTACAATGTTTGCACGTCAGTAGCCAACCCTGAAAAACCGATGAACGTCTTATCTGTGGCTTGATACAATTTCGGAAAGTTCATCGATATTGTCAAATAATTGGAACCGAAACGTTTATCGGATGCTATGGCCACACATTTCTTGCCAGCCATTGCAAGGACTACTCCTCCATTGTACTCGAGTATCTAAGCGAGTAAAAGCGATTAATATTCAGAATTGATTCTTTTCTTTTCCAAAGTTTATAACTTTTGAGGTTTCTTTGTTCGATTAACTAAAATATACACACCGACATTGTTAACTTATGTGACAGAGAATGCGGCTTGAATTGTGACGCTTCTGGAGGTGTCGAGTTATAAAGATTGATCGGATTCTTACGAATTTTCGATTACGTACAACTTTGAGTAACCCCGTTTAAATCACGTGAATGGGTTGCAAATAACGACCGCTTCGGTAGAGTTGATTGTATTTCGAGACAATTACAACAAGCTGCAAAGCAATGAACTTCCATTCCATGTTTCAATAATAGCGAACTCACATAAATTAGATCCAAGTTTCACTAGTAAGCATGTGAAATATCTCGATAAAATTTATACAATTGAAGCAACGTTGTTAATGGATACATCGGTAATTTATAAATACGATTTATGTCGATTTACTATTGATTCCTTACTTGCAACAGTAATATCTCATTATCAAAATCATGCATAATTTATTAATGTCGGCGATCTCGAAATCGATATTTTACACGTTCTGATAGCGTTTGTATATAGTATAAACGTCTGGTTGTAAAAAGCGTTCAAAAAAGTGGCGCATGATTAACGAGCATGCAGGCTCTTTCTATGATTAGTATTGAATAATAAATAACAGGTTGTAAATGACCGTGTTTTTTTATTATATGAATTTACTATTGACGGCCACCCATCATAATCAATAAACATGTTATATCATGCAAACATAATGTCGATCGGCGTTAATATTAGTGAGCGGGAAAGAATACTTTGCACGATGATTTATGAGGTACAGGAAAGAAAGCAAGCGCAATATGTGAAGATACTTTACTAGCTATTTATTAATCATTTACATATTAAATTGTAGAAATCCAAAAGCTCAATGTTATGTATATCTGACTTGATGAGCTCTGGCTCAACAACCGGTTATACGGCAGACATCTTCAGTGCTTCCTCGATGACGTCTTCTACTTCAACGCCGAGAAACAACACTGTAAGTCAAAGCAGTTTTCCTAAAGTTATACTTCAATTAATGGAACTAGGGTTTATGTTTGCAAATGCACAAGTAAAGGACTGTTAACGGACTTGAAATATTCTGAGAATATTTAAATACATTCTCGAACGTAAAGGAAATACAGCGTTGAAAAATCTTTGTCTGATGATGTGTTGTCAGTGGAAACAGCTATTAAAGTGGAATTACGAATTATTGTAATTATATTAATACTGAAACAATTTGTTGTAACCGTACTAACATATCATTCAATTAATAGTTTCCATGATAAAAGATATTTGTACCGTAATGCGAATAGTAAAGTAAGCGTTTAATTATTTATATCAAGACAATAGTCTAATGTTTGTACACATTGCAAATATCAGGTAACAACATATACAATATATTCAAAGTACTGTACCTCCAAATAAATACAAACTCGGCATTTTGTTGGGGTATGAATAAGTCAACGCTAACTCTTCACCAAATTATTTAAATCACTATCGTAAATATACAAAGCGGTAGTGTTTATTTTGCTGTGTCCCACCGCTTTTTGGCACATTCTGGCCAGTGTTATGGCTATTCACGTACAATTGCAGTAAGTAATGGATATGTATATTTTGTTTAATAATATACGTATTTTATTTGCAGACAACGATAAATACATTAACTAAAGAAATACAATATGGCACGAATATTGAACGTAATAGCGATTACGAAGGTTGAATACATTTTACTGTGTCCGGTAAACGTTCGTGTTGTTATTTTAAAATTTAATTTCAGTAGTGATGATTGTGTGAGTATGGTCAGTTTTTTATTCTTAATTTTCTCCGCCTAATAAAATTATTAATTATTTTTATCTTTAACGTCATTTTAGTCAAGCGTCGATCTTTATTGGGTGTTTTTATATTCAGAAAAAAATTAGCTGCTATGGAACGCGACTTGACATTTGAAGCATTTCCAACTGATATAAAAAAGATTGACTACGGGCAATATCGTTATTTTGATAACACGTATGCTATATACTAAGCGAACGCTGTTGATAAGCGTACTTTATCTTTTGTCACGCGTACGTCATAATAATTATTGGTAAACTATAAATTATGTCACTCACACTAGTCAAGCCATTACGAAGAATTATAATTTATTGTGTGTGTAATATTTAACATATTTGACTTGAAGCAATTATGTACAGTGCGGGCATTACGTATAAGCTGTCTAGGCATAGAACTGCAAGTATTTTTTATTGCTGGTTGATAAACGTTCAGAGAAGTATTTGAATAGGTAGTGTTGTTGTTTTCATCAACACTATACGTGAACAACAGACAAATGCCGGAATCATAAATAGCGACATCCTCCTATGCTTTGCCACCGTCATCATTTCAATCAAGGGACCCTACGTTACATAATAATATCGAAATCATCCACCAGAAGTCTATATCTTTTTATCGCGGTGGCAATGGTGGCATACCAACATCGCTGAAATCATCCTGTTTCACTGCATACATTAAATAAGCGTAAAATAGTCTGGCATTCAAATGATAACAATCATACTCGTTTGTGTTCATTCTTTTATTGTCTGAAAGGATACACACTGCTCCAACGAAACCAAGGAACCCAATACCAGTTAATGCATTTTGTACGAGACATGGACGACGTGCTCTTCGTAGCGCAGGTGTGAATTTGGAATCTTTTTGTCTGATATTTGATGGTTCGGCAAGCACGATAAGAAAGTGTAAATGAACGAACTGACCTTAATTTATGGACTGTCATGTGATAAAAGTATGTTGCTCAGCCAATCATACCTTTCATGAAAAGTTGACAGCAATCAATTGATCTACTACAGCACTATTATACGTCATTTTCCTTACACAACCCAAACAGATACATTATCATGTTACACATAATAATTAGCCAATATAAATAGAGAATAAATCGTCGGGGGAAGATATTTGATTACCATCAGTAATTAGTGAACGACTACACAATGGCGTATGAGGTTAGGAAAGCAGACAGCATATTAATATTATATGCAGAAAACACTCTACGTGCTCGCGTGTACTAATTATTACATGTCACTTGTAGACATCCGAAAGCTCAATTTCTGACTCGATGGATTCTAGCACAACAACCAACTACATGTTCCCGACAGCAAGTGCTTCCAGCGCTCCCTCTACGGAATCTTTTACGTCAATACCGAACAAGACTCTGAATCAAGGCGGGTTTCCGAAAATTATACTTCAATTGATGGAACAAGGATTTATGTCAGCAGATACGCAAATAAAGGGATTGTTAACGGAATTAAAATATTCTGAAAACGTTTACGCTCTCAAATACATTCTCGAACATAAGGGAGAATCTGTGTCAGTAGAGGTGTTAAACACAGCATTGAAAAGTCTATGTTCTCAAGAGTTTGATGATGTATTTTCAGAAGAAATTATCATTAAATTGGAATGGCAACTACGAGTTATTATGACTATATTGGAGCAAATGTGTCAGAAGAAGTGTCGATTTACATGTCAGTTTCTTGATGGTGTTAGACAAACCATTTCCATGCACAAGAAAACGCACTCAAAAATCATGCAGCATGAAGGAGAAACTTGGAAACCTAAATATTCAGAATTTAATAACTCAGATGAAACTGTCAAAAGCTTTAATTGCAATTACAATATTCAATACCTTCTCAAAATCATTAATAATACATTAAATGCTGTTTCTAGTGACAAGACCCCATACAAGACAGGCATTGATCGAGCTATTGCAGCATTAAAAGGTTTACTTGTTGCTGCTCCTGGGTTAGCTAAAGTCGGAATTAAATTAATTGCAGGAGTTGACGTCCCTCTTGGTGATTTTGATAT